GATAATTGCTTGATATAGTTGTTATAATTGGCTATAAATCTTGTAGTGGATGACTGTATTTTTTCTCAAGTCAAAGAGAATAGGTTATAATCTTACATCAAGCTCTATATTTATTATACAATGTTAAAAATATAGGTGCTAGCAACAACTAATATAGTCTGTTGTTAGTAGTGGTTTTCGACGATCGATGGTTGGCGGCAGCAGATGATGACAATGTATGACAGTAGGGACTACGGAGGTTGGTAGTTTTTCGTCGAGTCTTCAATACATGTGATAGTCAAAATAGTTGTATTTAGAATACAACAGTTGCAAGCAAGGGTCGTGAACAATCGGTGGTCGCCACCAGCTGATGGTGACTTCCAATAGCGGTTAACGATAACCAACAAGCTATGGTTAATGGTGGTCAGAAGTCATTTGTTATCGTCAGGTATTTTCTTCAAAACAAACTATGGAATTCTTCTACTTCTCATCCATCTGAGATAATGTCTATTTAAACCATTGGAGAGCCACATTTTAGAATTTTACTGAAAAAATTCATCAACCACATGATTGGAAGTTAACCATCTTGATTAAAGATGATTATTTTCAAAACTTGGGTGTCTTAATGTCCTCAAAATTGAGTGAACTCGGGCTTATTAGATTCCTCTCATCTAAACGCTAGATATAACTATAAATACATTAAATTTGGTGTTTATTGAATCATTCAATTGACGATCAAATGCTTCTTTTTGTGTTTAAAAAATTTAATCTGAGCTTGATTAGACTGTATTGAACTAATTTTGATATGATTGAGCTCATAAATAATTATTGATGGCAAGCAAACATTTATAAATTATTAAATAGTTGATGAATTGTACATAATGGACCCATAAATAACATAAAATCTACAACATGTAATTTAAGTTAATTTTGACAAAGTTTCGTCCATTCATTATTTTTTGAACTTCAAACATGGAGAACGTGTGGAAGGGGTCATTGCTCCTCAAAGGTAGAAAAAGTCAGGCCTGCGCGAATCAAATTGGATCTTTAAAAAAGCATTGAATTTTTTATGGGAAATTTACATAATACCCCACAATTCTCATGAATTTACACATGTGGCATCCAAATTTTGATATTTGCATTTCACTTTTAAAAAGTTAATAATTATGATTTTTTGTTGACATGATGCTAAAAATTTGAATGATATGTAAGCATGCATCTATAGCTGTTGATTATGAAAATACATAAGAAAATTCATGGAAGGGTTATTTATACTCCTTTCTTACATTAATGAAATAACCCGTTTTATTGCACATTATTCTGAATTTCAATATATATATTAAATTTATATAATATTTAAATAACAAGAAAATTTACTTCATCGACATACATCAAATGAAGCCTGATTCGAACAAGAAATCATTTTTGTATCATATCAATGATTCAGATGCGCCCGCACAATCGATTTTACAATCGGAGGTCATTAATGAATTACTCTTGATATGCTTCCAATACCTGTCGTGTAAGTTCAACTTTACTCATGGCAAAAGTTCAATTTTTTCCATTTTTAAGTAATTTTAACTTACATTAACAATTCCAAAATATTTTTTTTTTCTGATTAAAAAGCAGCACATAGAAGAGAAAAGAGGAAAAAAATAGAAAAAAAAAGGCATGCAATATCAACGTATCCCTACTGTAAAGGGAAAAATAGTATGTCCTGCATCCAGACAACGGCTGTGATTCACCGGAAGTCATTTTTTATATTTCTTTTTTTCTCCTTTGCTCCTTTCGGTGGATCGCAGCAGTTGTAGATTCATACTTACATATTTCCATTTAGTGTCACTCAGTGATTCATACTTACATATTTCATATTAAGTGTTGCAGCTTACGTCCAGACTGGACGTAATACTTTTTGCAAGTAAAGAAGTAGGTAATTAAACAATCACTACATTTTTTCTTTTAGTCTTAATCATGTATATCATCTACAATAACATAAGCTATTATACTCCATATATATATACTATCAACTAAAACTAACATTTAATTTACCAAAAAAAAAAAAAAAACATTTGGGCATTTACAGACCTTACACCCAATGCGTCTACCTTCTCAAACTTCAATTTTGAATCTGGTAGGGAAAAATAGAAGTTTAGGTGGTTGAAATGTAAATAGATAAAAATTGGATGGTAGATATGTAAATCTCCCAAAAGAAAAAAAGATTGGCTAGTATTAACGGCCTGTAATACTTGAAAGAGTAAGGCCATTACAAGAATAGTTTACTTGTGATTTTGGTGGCCATTTAGACTCTGAAGCATTCTTCATGATGAAAAAAGCAGGTTGCTTGATATGATTGAAATATAAACTTTCATTGCCGAGCATGGAGATAACATCAGACATGAAAGGACGATCATCGGGGCTTTCTTGTGCGCACTGAAGCGCCACATAGATGCATCTTGCTACATCATTATGTCGAAATTTGTTACCTAATGCAGGATCCACAAGCTCCATCCATGTTCCATCTTTCCATAACTCCCAAGCCTAATCAAGCAATACAAAATCACAATGGTTTTGGAAATATTTATGAAATAAATAGCTAAATGGCACAAAAACTTTGATGCATTCATGCACAGCACATAGTCCTAGTGTATTTACATATCCAATACCGAAACTTTCTTATTTACACACGTGTCACTTGAACCTTTTATATCACATAAAAAGTAGCGCTATTATCACTTTTTGTTATATATGATTCATATACCAGATAAGGGACAAATGCGGAAGCATATGCCCAATTGGGAGAGTTTGTTAAGTGGGTTGAGGGTGCGAGGGCAACGCCCCCGCAGTACGGTACAAAGTAATTTTGTAATTTCAAGAATGGTTAGGAACACACACACACACACACACACATATATATATATATATACATATATATATGTATATACATATATATATGTATATACATATATATATGTATATACATATATATATGTATATACATATATATATGTATATACATATATATATGTATATACATATATATATGTATATACATATATATATGTATATACATATATATATGTATATTCATATATATATGTATAAAAAAAAAAAAACAAAAACAAAAATGCTGCTCATTGCTCCCGAGAACGAGTGTTTTTTCTGTCCGGTCACCGGATGTGCGGACAACGGATGAGATCTCGTCCATTGTTCGCACATCCGGTGGATCTCGTCCGTTGTCCGCACATCCGGTGACCGGACAGTAAAATTTGGCCCCGAGAACGTAGGCATATTGCTGCGTTAAATCCCCGATTCACTATTATTGATTCTTGTGATTCTTTATCCTTCTTTCTCAACACTTTTCAAAAGTCAAACATATCTTTTCATGTATAGGTTTAAAGCACTGAAGTGATAAATATGTAAATATGAAAGTATAGGTGTGAGATATGTAAATACATAAGACTTGTGTGTTGTCTATGTAAAAATTTCCCAAAAAACATAGGATGGATCAGTAACTCACGTATGAAAGGAGATTATAGGGAGAATCAATTTCATAAAAGGAAGCATTTCTCTTTCCACTCACAATCTCGAGGAGAAGCACTCCAAAGCTAAACACATCAGACTTGAATGAAAAGAGACCGTTGAAAGCATATTCTGGAGACATGTAACCACTAAATGTGCAACAATTAGACTAATTTCCATACATAATGTAGAAAAAATTAAACTTTAAGGGCATTTACAGACGTCGCATACAATTTTTATGTATTCTAAAATTTATTTAAAGATGATGGAGAAGTGGTTCATTATACTTACTAGGTGCCGACAATCCTTCGAGTATTTGCTTGGATTTCGTCAGAGTCGAAAATTCTTGCCATGCCAAAATCTGAGATCTTGGGGTTCATGTCAGCATCCAATAGAATGTTGCTCGCCTTTAAGTCCCGATGAACGACTCTTAATCTTGAGTGTTTATGAAGATAAAGAAGCCCTTGAGCTATTCCTTCGATTATTTCAAATCGACTCATCCAATCTAGTTTTGATCCATGCTCAACATCTGTGAAAGATCAAACATAACTATTACATCCAAAAAAGATTTGATGTTTACAGTGAGAACTTACTGAAAAGCCAGAGATCCAAGCTCTTATTAGGCATGAATTCATATATCAACATCTTCTCTTCTTCATGAATACAGAAACCCAATAATCTTACTAAATTCCTGTGTTGCAGTTTAGCAATTAATAATATCTCATTTTTTAACTCCTCAAATCCTTGACCTGATCTTGCAGACAGTCTTTTGATGGCTATTTGTAGTCCATCTGGTAACTCACCCTGATATGTCCATTAAAAGAGGATCAGCACTCAAATATCAAAATCATGATTCGTCCAAATATTTTTTAAATAATATCATAAAATTTTGTTCAAATGTTACCTTATAAACAGGACCGAAACCACCTTCTCCAAGTTTGTTGGTAACTGAGAAGTTGTTTGTGGCACTCTCTAATTGACTAAATTGAAATAATGAAATTTTTGAACTCCCTTTCATATCGGCTTCCAATTTGCCCATGATTTCATCAACCCAATTTAGAGAGGATACTGTGTATTATTCATAAAAAAATAATTCCGACAATTGAGAATTCAAACAACTTGATATATAAACTATCAAACAATTCAAGGAAAAATCTGTATAAATTCAAACGCTTACCTATGCTTCTCCGTTTTCTTATCACCAAGATGGCTAAGATCAAAATTATCAGAAAGAATAATAAAATTGCTGTTGTTGTGACAAAAATCCATATCTTTCTTTTGCTCCCTGTCAATGAAATCAATAAGTTACAACTCTTACTAATTTCCTAAGTTAAATTAGTACCTTTGGTAAATATGTCAAGTGATTTCTATTAGAATTTTGCATATTTTAAGTTGATGTTTTTAGGCTATTTTAAGAGCAAAATCCACATGAAAGGAATTGGAATAAGTTGAAAAACAGTTTTGTCTCCCCCTCACTGCGCAACCACCACCTAACTCGATTGTTGCACAATAAATGAGCAAAATCAGCGCTTAAGTTGCCGATACCGAAAATCAGTCTAAATTGAAAACCATCGATTTTGCTGATTTTTAATTTTTTTAATGTAGATAACGCCCTCATTAAGAAATAATAAGTTCAAAAGCAACAACAAAAAAGTTGTCAAATATCTCATATGGTTGCAACCATATTTTCAAGAAAAAGATGATTCATCTCGACTTACACCCAACAATCGAGAATTATAGATCATCTCTAGCACCTCATTTTGGGCTTACTCGGTCCTAAGGGGACTTGATTCAATCACTTTCATAACAAACTATGGTCGTTAAATAGAACATTTGACTAACAACCTAGGATGAGTCTTGCATAACGTTGTGGTGAACAAAACATTCTGAATGTGGTATAACGACGCAACCTGAATATGTTGTAATGATGCAACCAATTACGTTGCAACGACACACCACGAATACAATGCAATGATGCACTCCGAATACTGTGTAACGACGCATCCTGAATACATTAAAACAATATACCCCCAATACAGAATAATGAATAACACCGGATCTTTCCTTGCAACAATTACTTACAAGTTACAACCGTCGTATTTAGATTACAACGACTTCCTCCAGATTCCTGAAGTTCTCTTTTTACGTTGTATATTGACAAATGATGTCTCTGTTGCAACCACCTACTATCATAACACCAACTATATGCTTCACGACTAACTGATGTTGTTACAGTTTTTCACTATAGCATGTGTGACCAATTACGACATGCGAGGTCAACTGGTGTCATTACAACCCTCCACTACGGCCATTGTAACCAATTGACGTTGCTAAATCCATCAACTCCGACCTATATGGTTAACTATTGCTACGACTTTCAACTACGGTCTCAATGGCAAGTTGAAGCTATTACAGTTGTTGTCTATAATTTTGGCGGACTACTGCCTTCGTAACAATCAACCAAGGTATTTTCGGCCCGCTATTACTATTTTCACCTAGAACTATAACTTGATTGTGACTATTATCGTTGAACTATTATTGTACAACTATGATTATCAACTTTATAATTTTATCTTCTCTAATTTAAGAGAATGGTGGACAAATGTACCTATAATCACATAGTGAATTACTTAATTAGGTTGGGGGCCCCATGATTTCTTCAACTGTCAAGGTTTTCCGCGTAAAAAAAACTTGGAATCTACTCTTGTTTACTTTTAATCATCTGTGTAAGTAATAAATTTTTGTACAATGCTGAGATGTTAAATTATTACTTTACCGCCACAAATTTTCTGGCACAAAATAGAATCAAATATTAAAACATCTATAAATTAATAATATTATAAACATCATATAGTTTACGTAAAATATATTTAAGAAAATAATAACCATACTTTTATAATGTAATAATCTAAAAATTATTATCATTAATTTGGATGCGCCCTAAACAAATTTTTTTCATTTGACACAAATCTAGAGATATTTTTTTAGCAAGAAATATTCAAACTTAAATTAAAAATTATCAAGAACTTTGATTTCAACAAATTTAAAGTTAAACTGACCGGCTCGACGAGACGTACCAAATGACATCGAAATTGATTCAATCCGAGTCAAATCAGTCTCAGATCAAACCATTAAGTTACTTTTATAAATTTTTTGTGCCTAATTGGAGAGTCAAATGGATATTAAATCTGACAAACTTATAGTCAAATCGAGCATCTCCGCAAAATGAATCTAACAAGATCAAGATCACTCAATTATGACATGGTTAACAAACTCAAATATCTACAAAAAGTCTTCTGATCAAAAGAATCTTTCATGTTCGTCTGATGGAGTGGTCAGAATTCCTTATTTTCAGAGAGGCCTCTTGCAAAATTTAAAATAAAAATTTAAAAATAGTCTTACCCCCTTCATGTGTTGTGGTATATAGAATATAATAGAACGATTGACGATGAAACGAAAAATAGAACGAGAAAATTCACACCAGAAAAGAACACACAGCGGAACACACAGATTTACATGGTTCAGACAATAGGAAAAGGTGCCCCGGACCCATTCTCCTCTTTACTTCCATCACTGTCATGCACTGTCGCCTCTAGTAGATCAACAAACCTTACATTTCTACAGTAACTAGAGCCTCCAAGAAATGCCACTGGAGAAAACCCCACACATCTGTGTGTACTAGATCTAGCTTTCCTGCCTTTGGAGTCCTGCCAAGTTTCAAGAAACTGATCTTCTTCTGCTTCCCCACAATGCACCTCTGACTCATGTGTTTATGCCTGAGTAAACTTGTAGTCATATATAGTATGTCAATTTTCTTACCCCGATTCATTACTAATACTCCTTTGATAACCTTCCAGGTGCTATCTGAGAACACTACTGAATGACCACCCTCATTGAGCTGCCCAACAGAAATGATGTTTTTCTTCAAGTCAAGAACATGTCTGACCTTTTGCAAAGTTCAGCTGTTCTTATTTGGAAGTGCGACGTCAATGTCTCCAATTCCCACCACATTCAAAGCTTCTCCATCTGCCGGATATACTTTCCCAAAGTCACCTGTAATATAATTTCGCATCAATTCCCGATAGAATGTTGTATGGAAAGAAGTCCATGAATCCAATATCCAGTTATCAACAGAACTATGAACTGCTAGCAGTACTACAACCTGTGCTTCTTCAGTTACCACATTTGCACTGTCATTCTCCATCTTCTTGAGATTTCTACAGTTTTTCTTTATGTGGCTGGCCTTGCCACAATTCCAGAATGTTGTCTGCTGACCAGACTTTGATTTTGATCTTCTTCTGTTTGAGTTCATATCCTATGATCTCCCTCTGAAATCAACATTCAGTGCCGAACTCGAACATGAGATCTCGCCAGAATATTTCCTGCTTACCTTTTCAGTCAAAATCAAATCATGAATATCATCGCATTTCAGTTTAGATTTACCTGCAGAAATGTTAATTATCATTCTCATGACTTCCTAACTATTTGACAATGATGCCAACAATATCAGCTCACGTATCTCATCATCAAAATCAATTTCAACAGACGACAATTGATTTGAGATAGTATTGAAATCATTCAGATGTTCAGATGTTGAGCAATAACAATAAAAACACCTTCCGTCATCTTCAAATTGGATAACTTTTTCATCAAGTACAAATTTTTATTCGTCGATGGTTTTTCATACATACCAGATAAAACTGTCATGAGATATGCAGTAGTTTTTTCCTTAACGACGTTGTGTGCAACAGACCTCGATAGGGTCAATCTAATAATCTCCAGAACTTGTCAATCCAACAAATTCCACTCAGCCTCATTCATCCTTTCAGGTATTTTCCCCAATAACGGAATATGAAGTTTCTTCACATAGAGGCAGTCCTCTATTTACATCCTCCAATAACCAAAATCAGTGTCATCGAACTTCTAGATCCCTGAAACCTACACTTTATCTGCAGCCATTGTCTTCCCTCAGATCTGCAACACGACCCTATACCAGTTGTTGTGGTATATAGAATAAAATAAAACGATTGATGCTAAAACGAAAAAAAAAATGAGAAAATTCACACCAAAAAAGAACACACAGATTTACGTGGTTCGGCAAATTGACTACGTCAACGGAGTTGCAGAGAATTTTACTACTTGATGAATTTACACCAGTCGATCGTTTCGACTTACAAGAACGAACTCTTTCTCTCACTTCTCTACTCTTCTCTCTCTACACCGAAATTCACCGAAAAGAATAAACGTACAAGAGAAATAAACCCAGTTTCTCTTCTACCACAAGCCATTAAGAAGAAGTTAAGGGAGAGCAATCTTCTTCTTCTTTCTTCTTCCTTCTGCAAAGCACACACACACTGCTTGCACTTCTGCTTGCACTTCTCTTCCTCTCTGTGAAAGCAAAATTGTCGAAGAAGAACATGAAAGGGTCGTGTTAAATTTGAAAGAGAGCCGCTCCTTTTATCACGAAGAGGATGCGGGAACGGTTAGGGAGTGGTGGGAGACGCGAACGGTAGGCGGGACGTTCGCGATGATCAGATCGCAGGAACAGTTCGGGCTCAGCTAACATCATGAAAGAGATGGGGAGAGTTTGAGTATGAGGTGGATCAGAAGGAGCTGACTTCCATTGTTGTTACGGACTGAACAATCGATGAATAATTCTCACTCTCATAGCCGCCGGCCACTGTCAACCACCGCTCACCAGCCACTGACAACTACCATTAGCTGCCCCCTGCTCGACGAAGCCCCTTGCGGAGCCACGATGTACACTGCGGAGTAAAGAAGCACCATAAGAACTACAACGTACGCTGTTGAGTAATGGAGCATTATGCATGGTTAAGTTGAAGGTTGCAAAGTAACAAAGCACCGGGTGGAGTAACGACCAACGTCGTAGAGTAACGAGACACCCTATGGAGCAGTGCGTCATCTAGAACATTGCGTCACGACGCAATTTTAAGACGGCATAACCACTCTCGACCATTGGACAACAAGTCCTTCTGCATACGACCGTCGTACTTCAAGAAGTTGTGTAGCCTTTTTCCATATGTGGGACAACGCCATGTACGTGTAGTCCTCAACTTATACTGGATCGTTGTGACTTTGCTAGACCCCATGATTTTCACCATTTTCAAGGTTTTCCAAGTAAATACTTCCGAATCAATTACATTTGTGTGTGATGCACTTTCGCGTAATGTTAAGACCATAAATAATAATTTTATCGATGCAACACATCAAATCTTTTTAAAATTACTTGGATAACTTCTATGATTTTTTATTGTCCATTCAGCAGCAAGAAAATATATACATGAAATATGCATTATTTATGATCAATTTATATAAAATAAATCTAATAAATTTAAAACTCGTCTTGACTAAACTCTTTTAACATAATAATATATAATATCTAAATCTCATAAATAAAAGGATTATCTTAATCTAAGTTAAACATATACTTCGATCTAACTTTTTTTCGAGATTACAAAACCAATATAGAACAATATGTACGTACCGTCAGAATTGTTAAGGCGTGACGCCACCCGGACGTAGATATCCTGCGGACTTTCGCTCGCAGAGGTTCTAAGATCATTAATCTCTGCCATCCAAATCAAGCACCCACTTCCTCCACCGCTAAGATGAACACCTGCATAAGCCTTACACGAGCAATTCATCAAACACCTTGTCCTACACCCATCCAAGCCCAAGCTCACATCCGCCACCGCCTCCCTCGTGTCCGGCAGCATCGTTCCCCGTACCACCATGAACTCGTCGGTTCCATTCACCCCGCAGCCAAGTTCCGCCACTCTCACACACCCATCTGACCACTCTCCCCGGCTCCATTTCAACGGATTCCTCGGTTCAAAGCCATCAAAGCACTGGCACATCAGCGAGCTGCTCGAATCGCAGACGGAATTGGTTCCGCATGCTGGAAAAAAATCGCAGGGGTCGATCGGTGCTAGCCACACGAGATTCCACTTCTTCCACGTCGGTTTCCATTCGTATAACTTGGCTACCCCATCTGTATCCATTGTCAGTGTAGCAATGGCGTCGACGATGGTGTTGAAGTAGTAGTAGATCTCCACCGGAGTGGAATAGAAGAATTGGTTGAAGTCTTTGTATAGGCCGACGGAGAGTAATTTTTTAGGGCAGAAGCCGGAGATGGTGTAGCCGTTCCATGGTCCCCCGCGCCAGATCCACCTGCCAGAAGCATCGTGGATGACCAGCTGGGGGACACCAATGGGATCCATCGCTAATACATATTTTCCCGGCGATGGATCAGACTTGCTCCGCCACGCCGTGAGATTACGGTTGATACTGGTTATCAGTTCGGGGCCAAGCTTCATCCCGGAGAGCAAGGCGTCGGTTGGGTAATCGAAGCTCTGCCATAAGTGTGAGGTGGAATTCTGAGCTCTGATGATGAAATTGCCGGTGTCGAGAAGTTGGGCGATGGGATTGGAGATGGAATTGGGGAAGGAAGGGGATGACCAGAGAGGGGTGGAATTAGCGGAAGTTAGGAGAAGGAGAGAGGCGTCACCGGAGGAGATTGATAGTGTTGCGTTGAGATTGGGGATGGGATTCCGGCGATTGGCGATCCAGACGACGGTAGGGATTGGGAGATTGTGGTACCAAATGCCTAAGTATTGGTTTGTGGAGCTGGGAGGGGTGAAGAAGCCAAGTGCGAAGGTTCCATTGTGGGAGACGAGAGTTTCGCCATTGGAGAGGGGATGAGACGGAGTAAGGATGTCTATGGCGAAGGAGACTGAGAAGAAGAAGAAGAAGAGGAAGAGGATTGGTGGGAGGAATATTGCCTTTCTCGTCATCTTCGGACTCCTCCAGTTACAGTTCATATAATACTGTATATATACTATTTAGTTTAGATAAAAAATGCAGGGAAGCACATTGAGAAAAAAGATTTACATCCATACCATTCAATTCTTACGTAATTAGACATCTGTTGGGATAAAAAATATGAGATTTGGGGCGTGTTTGGGCCAGTTTATAAGTGTGGGTGGCATTTTGAAAGCGTCACTTCACCGTTTGGAAAATACGTTTTGATAGCTCATCGGAAAACGTGGTTGGGTTTTTACACTAAACGTAAGCCGCGGGTCGAACCTCGCAGGCAGTCTGCGGGCCGCGTTTCAGGATAAGCAGTTTATTCTAAAACTCACAAGCTGCCCCAAATGCACTATTGATCGATTCACACTTAAAATCACATTGCTAAAAAACACACCAATTTGACATATCCCAAACAATAAATTGAATAAAAGTACACAACAAGGAAATCTAGTAAAAGCACATAATGACTTGACGTGGAAGAACCTGAGAATAGAAAAAATCACGAAGTCATACCACACTTGTATACACTAGAATTATCGACATGAATCTTAAAGAGAATGAACCATCAAAAACAAAAAACTTCCACTAAGGGTAAACAGTCGACCGATAATTCAACGACAAGCATGAAAACACACGCTTCTAAACCTTGAATAGGTCAAAGCTCAAGATCTGCTAAGAGTGAAGTGCAAATCATCCATGCAATGAGTCTCGTCGAATATCTCGCATAGGTAGCGACAATATCCGCCCAAGACATTTGTGAATGGGAATGTCTAGCTGAGGTGATGAACAGACCAAGTAGACGAAGACACAGACCCTGTAATGAGGCAAACGACAAACGAGTCATTATTCACTTGATGAAACAAATTGACTGGTCGGCCGAGCAACTGATCAAGGTGCAGGCGAGAACCCTGGCCACGGCTAATCGAATGACCTACTTTTCACCATGACGGCTGAGATCAACCCTCGACCGGATGCCTTGATCGACCGACAAAAGACAATGTCATCACTCAGCCGATCGTCTCAACTTGCCGCATTCTAGTGAATCGATCAACAAATTACCATCATATTAAAATTCAAATTGTAATATAGATATGCAATGAGATCCATATAATTTATTAGAGAATTAATCATATTATTAACGGTTTACATAACCGTTCCCTACTTTGTAATTGTACCAAATGCATTCTTATAAATAAGAGACAAGAGGACGACCAAAAAGAGGGAGGCCATTGGGACTCCCTCGGTTCCCTCTACAATAACTGTTGATTCACTTTTTTCTCTCATCACTAGACTCTTAACTTTCTGAGGTGTGCTCATAAAAGACAGTCTAGGATCCAACAGTATCAAAATTTTTACTATGAAAGGAGCAGTATAGAATTACACCACTGAGAACCACACTCTATGTCATTGGAACTCACAACAATTCATCTTCCTTTCACTCTTGATCTCACAAGGGAATTCACTGGTTGAAATCCAGTATCTCGACATGGATGCCGCTTAAATACTTTCCTGAAATGAGCGCTTAAATTTCAAACTGCGTACAAAAAGCTCTTGACACCGTAACACCACTCCCTGACACTATCGTTCTGCTCGCTCGAGTTAGTCATGAAACAATGGTGTTGTCGTGCTCCGAAATTTTTACATACGTGTCATCTTTTTTTTTCATTTCTATTAAGTTAAAAATGTGATGCTTTTTATATGATGTGTACGATTTGAAACGAGGGCTTAAATTTCAAACTGCGTACAAAAAACTCCTGACACCGTAACACCGCTCCCTGACACTATCTTTCTGCTCGCTCTGGTTAGTCATGAAACAATGACATTATCGTGCTCTGAAATTTTTACATACGTGTCATCTTTTTTTTTTGTCATATTTATGAAGTTAAAAATGTGATGTTTTTACATGATATTTACGATTTGAATGATATAAATGTAATAATTAATTTTTTTTTGGGGTTAGAGATGTAAATATATAATAATTGATTGGTATGCATGTAAATAATTCACTTATGATTTTCTTGACTAAGTCCGACTTGTTTAAACAAATAGCATTAATTGCATTAACCAAGCCTACAACCTCCCCTAAATTAATAACATTTTATCAATGAATTATGGCTCTCCTTTCTTCTTACTTATTAATGGTAAGATATTGGAAGAGAAAGTTTCGGCAAAGATATTGTAATAGAAAATTATTGGATTAATTTATTAAATCATATCCGTGGAATTCGCAAACTAACCGGACACGAATAAATAGAGTTTGTGTTTGTGTTTGATTTATTTGAAATTTAGTTTGTTTGAAATAAGCTCGTGATCGAAATTGTTCATGAAGTCATCGTTCGTGTTTGTCTCTTAACGAACAAGCTGAACACGAGTCGAACACTAGCTGTTCGTGAACGACGAGCCAGTTTGACATCCCTAATATTAATATATATAAATAATACATTATATTAATTATATAACTTATATTATATAAATAATATAATATCTATATTAGTATATTACTAATATATTATATTAATATATTATTATTGTTATTTTAATATATATTATAATTTATAACATTTAATTTTTTAAAATATCATAAATTATATATATATATACAATAACAATACAAACACGAACAAACGCATCACTGTTCGTGTTTGATTTGTTTAATTAACCGAACGAATCGAACACGAACTGTTCACGAACAACAAACTTTTTTGACAGCCCTAACTACACATTCATACCAATCAATTATTCTTCATTTGCATATTTAACACTAATAATTTTTTTTTTTATATTAATACCGCCCAAATGTTTTATACCACAATAAAATGCTAATATTTTGAGAATTAAAGAAGATGAAATACACATTTTAAATTGAAATATAGAAAAAAAAAATTGAAGTCAATGTGTTAGACATGTAATTGGATAAGAATTGAGAGGTAATGCATGTTGTAAATCTTTCTTGTGGGGCGTTTACTTTGATATCACTCAATTCCTATTGTATCACATATCTAACATCAAAATGATATTAAAATGGGAGCCAGACAAAATGAGGGAGCATTCTGCAAAGGATCCGCCATCACGTTTCCACAAGACATCGTGTTCTTGGGGATTCCATCGATGTCTTGATTAATTGCAGTTTATTATCCTGTTGTGTGCTAGAAAATTCACGACAGTAGAGTAACAGATTATCGTCTTAATGCGATATGAAGATTCATCACACACTCTGAAAAGAGAAAACAACTAATAATGACACTATAAATTTTAAAGTAGAAAACCCTAAAAAAAAATCACGGGATTTGACCAGCTGAAGAGTTATACTTAAAAAGATGATTACAGTTGCAATTATTTGTCTCACAGACAGGAAAGAGTAGCTAGGTTTTCAAACTTATAACGTCGACTAGCGGCAATCGATAGTGATTTTAAGCATTCGATCGGTGGTAGTCGACAGTGGTTGGTGGTGATCGACAGTCGTCGACAGTGGACAATGGCAGTCAGTTGTGGTCGATTGCGACAGGAGTGCTCGACGGTGGTTGGTGCTTGTCGACAGCAGTCGGCGGTTGGTGATGGTAGATGGGAGTCAACAGTGATCAACGACAGTTGACAGTGATCGACGGTAGCAGAAGTGGTGTTGGACTTCAGTTTCTTATCAAAACTTCAAGTTCTTTTTCAAGCCTCAAGCTCTCCTCCTCCCCTTATGAGAGGGGTGAGACTCTATTTATAAAGTTCTGGGTGCAATTAATGCAGAAATATGAATCACTTTGATCAGACGACTCAAAGGACTTTCCTCGATCAGACAAAATTTGATGAACATTTGAGTGCCTTAAAGATATCGAAATTGAGTGATCTTGGGCTCATTGGATTTGTCTTATCAAAACACTTGATTTGACTATAAACTTGTCATAATCGACTTTCGTTTGACCTTCCAAATGTGTCTAGAAAACTTTCAATAGTGGTTTAATAGCTTGATCTGGGCTCAATTTGATTCAGATTGAACCAATTTTGGTATCATTTGGTGCTTCTTATCGAGCCAGTCAGCTTGACTATAATTTTGCTGAAATCTGATTTCTGGATGACTTTTTATTGAGGTTTGAATATTTCTTACTCAAAAAGTCACTTCAAGTTTCTTGTCATGCTTCGAGTTTCAGCCTGATGATGGATATTTGTTAGATGTGTATCACATCATGTTACCAAATTTCGCATGTACTTCTGTCTTTTCTAGTTTATTTCTTTTTTCATTTTCTTTTATCAGGGTTAATTTCTAGCAGAAACTATTTATATATTGTTATTTTGCTGATTTAGAAGATTTTAGTTATTGTTTGTGTTATGGGGAATTTTTTTTTTTTTATGCTCATTGGAGTGCTGTATATTTTTCTTTTATAAGGGGTGTATATGTATCTTGTTCAGTGACCAGTGGTGGATCCCCCTCACTATTCGTTTATCATCATTTTAGAGTTCACTTCTTTTGTTTTCCACCGAGATATCCATCAAAGTACGCTTATCCCCTTCCAACGCAGTCGACCTCATATATTATCATTATTTTACCATTCCACAACCACCTCCCCTTTAAATCTGCTTCCCAAACATCTTCTAAGAGCCCAACAATAATATCATATATCCATTACATTTATACCGCCCAAACTTTCATATCACAACTAAAATATCACCACTTTAACTTTTAGAAAGCAAAACACATATTTTTATGCATAGGTGAGGGGTCATGTAAATGAAAATTAAAGTTTAAGTGTTAGATATATAAATACATGTAAATCTTCTTTTATTTTAAAGTCCATATATTGAATCTTGATTATATCATATGAAGCACTAAGTCCTCCCCCGTGCAATGATTTCTTTGATTTATTAAATTGAGCTAATGCTTTCATTGAGCTTAAGAAAAATCAAAATAATCATAAAAAAAGTCTTATCGATATATTGATCGTTTTCACTCTCACTCAATTATTAATCAACTCATACGCATTACAATTTTTTTTTTTTTTAATACTTGTACATTTAATATTTAAACATTGCTATTTATATGCATGGCACTTAAAACATTGCAATTTAAAGAGCCAGCAACCTCCTGCATCCTTTTAATTTCGCTTTCAAATGTCAAAATTATTTGATCGTGACATACATAAATACATAAATTTCAAACTTCAGAAAAAAAAAAATGATTTAGATGATATATATACATGTGTGTGCGTGTGTGCGAGCGTCGTAAGTCGTAGTATGTTGGTTGGCGGGGTTCGCAGTAAGTCCCCTCAGGTCACGGGTTCGATCCCCAGTGACGCTGGGTTCTCGAATATTTTCGCACATGGTGCGGGTTCTCATCATGAGGCTTAGCGCATGAGAAATCAGTATATGAGCCTCTACCGAATATTGATTTCCTTTATATATAATAAAATCTAAGAAGTCATTAATATTTATATACATATATAATGATCCAACAAATTTTGTGTGATCATAATTCTTAGATAAATTTAATTATATATGCTACAACCAAATACAAGATACAAAATTATAAAGTCCAATGGACTTGCATTTATCTAATTCTTCCTTCAAATCAAACATACCCTTTGGTTTCTTTTGATTGGAAAGAATAGGATGAAATGCAAATGTGGAAAGTTCGCAATTTATTATTTGATTGTAATGTAATTTATAGATTATTATGTGCTAAAATATTCACAGTGGTGGAGGATGAATTTTGACAAAAAAAAAAAAAAGTCAACACTTATTAATGAGTATATTATGGCTCATAAGAGGTATACTTTTTTTTACATTTATATTAATGAAGAACAAAAAACGCATGATCTATCCAATTAAAAGCCCTTCTCATCAACTAAGATCCAACCCAATCATATCGATGTTGAGTTGTTATAGCGCATGGGTTAACTTGGCCCTGAAATTGTGAAATATGTTGAAGAAGTATTTCCTCGATAATGGATTATTGTGGCTCTGGGTGCGTTTGGGGCGGCTGTTGTTTTTTGAAGAAGCTGCTATGAAGTTGATTTTTGGAGAATTAGTTTCATAGGTGTTGTCAGAAATATGTTGTTGGAATAGCTGGAGATTGGTTGGGTAATCTGTTGTGTTGCAGTTATTTCTGATGAAAAAGACTGTTTTACTCTTATGTACAGTGAAGCCCCATCAACAACACCTCCACATAGCAGAGAATCCTCGTTGGCACCACCTCAAGCGCCAAACCACCAACATAAAAATAAATTCATTACATGCACATCACACACGTAAATACAGAATTGAGTGGTATGTATGCCCCAACAAGAAATTCATTGAACATAGAGGAAAACCACCAAAAGCGAAGCCCCATTGAAAACACCTCCACATAACAATGAAGCCCAATTGACTCCACCTCCACATAACAAGGAAACCCCTATCAGCACTGTTGAGAAATTTAGGGCGAAAATAACGCAAATTCAGAAGAAGAACACAAAAATTTAACGAGGTTCAACAACGTGCCTACGTCTTCCGGAGCAGAGCGACGAATTTCACTATTTCAGATGAGTTACATACCCATAGGGTTACACATTCATTTATAGATAAAACTCAGATAAATTTACAAACACACCCTCGCTCCCCCCAACTCGCTAATCCAAGAGACACACATCTTCACATCAAAAGATACGTCTCTTCATTCCAGGAGACACACCTCTCCAAATCCAAGAGACTCCAAGTTCCTGGTATATGAGCCATACCTAACATGGACAACCTCAAGCACCGCACCATTTCAAGCACCAAACCACCAACATAAGAATAAATTCATCACTAGCACATCACGCAGGCTGAAAGAATTGAGTGGTGTGTATGTAAATGCCCCAAAAAGAAAGCCATCACACATGGAAGAGAAATAACAATGAGGAAGCCCCATCGGCACCAAACCACCAACGTAGAGCAAGGCCAAGAATTAAGCTTAACATGGTAAAGAAAAAAAGGGTAAAACAGAATGCATGATACCACCACACCACATGACAAACAACATGTCACCTCAAGTACCAAAGCACCAAACCACCTCAAAACAGAAAGTGAAACCATCATTTACAACCTTAAACGAGAAGCACCAAACCACCAAGAGAAGCTCCGTTGGCACCATCATTTACAACCTTAAACAAAAAGCACAAAACAACCAAGAGAAAGAAAAACTGAGAAACGTAATAGGGGAAAAACCTAGGTAAAATGCACAACATCAAATCACCACCACAGAGGATAACCGAGAAAGAATGAAAGGTGAACAACACAAACAGAGAGAGGTGGCGAACGAGAGAAAGGCGAAGAACAACAAATATGCCTTAAAGCCACAACAAAAGTTGAATGGACGAAGAGGGTATGAGGGGTATTAACGAAGACATAATAATTTAAGCGGGGTAGGTTAGTAATTTCTCGACCAAACCGCATTCCAGACCGTGGAATAGAGACAACATGAGTCGTTTGTGATTTCTCTGTTCCGACAATGTGTGGCGACAAAAAATGACCATTAGATGGTTCTCAAAACAAAAAGTGGGGCAAAATGGGACCTCAATCGCGCCACAATATTATGCTTAGTATTGGTTTTGAAGCTAGGACCAATCTTAATGTCCTAAAGGCATGGTGTTTGTTGAGTGGTTTGACCATGTCTTTATAAGAAGCAAGTGTTGGGATGTTTCATTACAAAATTGTAAGCCTCAAGAAAGTTGGATGATGAGATTTGGGAAGGAAGGGGAAGATGATAGATAGGTGAAGTTATCATAGTTTATGAGTAGGAGAAATGCATCACCACTAGTAGTTGAAAGTTGTGTTGAAGTTGGGGATGCAATTCATATGATTAGTGACACAAATGATAGTTTGAAGTTTGAACAACAAGAGCGTGGTAACAAATACAAGTTAGTGATTGGTGGTGTAAAGATGACCGAAGAAGTCGATGGTGAAATTTTTGATTATGGAGATGCATATTATGGGTGTCCATGGAGAAATAGCTTATTAGTTTTGAATGAAGGAAGCAGGGCGTGCATGTCATTCAATATTAAGAAAAAACTTGGGCAAAAAGGGATTATATCTCATTTTCCACTAGACCGTTTTTATAGATGATAGACACGTCTCTTAGTCTATCATCTGCATCTAATCTAATAATTTCTCCAACGAAGAAGATGGGGAAGAATATTACAGATGCTAGGAGAGCGATTTATCTGTCAATTTAAATTTTTCATAATGCTTCCAGATTAAGAAAAAAAAAACAAATTTATAAAATTATGGTTTATGTTCCCAAGTGATTGGTCCCTCCCATAAACCATCGCACATAATTGCCTTCTCTCTATTCTTATCTAAATTCAAATGAAATAATTTTCATTTTAGCATTTTTTTTTTATGAATGTTCTCCAAATTGTAAACTGTTGAGATTTGTGTCTTATGTTGAGGGGTATAATTGTAAATAGAAAATACTGAAAAAGTCTAAGGAATGTTTGTAAAAAGTTTGTAAGAAGCATTTAACTTTCACCTCCCATCCAGCCCTCAAACTTCTCTATAAACCCTAAGGGCTTGTTTGGGATCAATTACACGGTATAGACCTCTCAGGTGGGGGGTTTGAATCCCCTCCGACACAAATCCCCTCCGACACAGTTGGCCTTAACGAGGTGGTACCTGATTTATTAGACACATTAGAGTGGTTGGATGCTCGTATAATAGCCTCTGGCCATTCCTTTTAATATATATACATGTTTGTCCAGCATATTTTATATAATATTATTTTTTAGTGTTTCCAAAAACAAACATGCCTTAATCACTATGTCAAAATTATTTTGTTTTAACTCAAAACAAAAACGAAACAAAATAAAAACAAAAATAGTAAATAAAAAACAAAAACGATCCCAAACGACCCTATTATCTACAAAGGTTTTCAACCCCACAATCAACTCTCCTCTCACATCACCATCACTCAATACCCCAAAGAGAAAAACCTTTATTTATGATCATGAATTCCCCGCCACATGCTCCTTCAATTAACATTTCTCCTAAATACAAAGCCAATTAAGCTCTCAATCATTGAACCCTATTTTTTCCATTTTCTAAGTAATTCAACTCAAACTACAATTACAAAAGCTTTACTCAATATAACCTCTGCTAACTCAGACAATTGTATATACACTTGTATTTTTACATATTTTTCAATCTAAATTGTCAGATTTACAAAAAAACAAATAAATTAGCTAGTGTTATCGGCCGGACACAAGGGTAACTGAGAGCTCATTAGAAGAAGAATTTACATGCATATTTAATGGCAACTTAGAGTCTGAAGCATCTTTCATAGAGAAAAATGCAGGTTGCTTAACACTACCAAACTGTAAACTTACACTGCTAAGCATCGTGGCAACATCCGACATAATCGGGCGATCTTCCGGGCTCTCTTGCACGCATAGAAGCGCCACATAGATGCACCTCGTCACCTCATGCCCAAATTGGTTATCCAATGCAGGATCAACAAATTCCATCCACTTCCCTTCTTTCCATAATTCCCAAGCCTAATCAAGCAACAAGAAATTGATTTACTTTTAAAAGCATTTATATCGCAAACTTCTTACGTATTTACATACCGAACATTTAAAATTTGATATTTACATGTGTTACACACAGATCTTTTATATCAAATCAAAAATAACACTAACTTCAAATTTTGATGCAGGTGTTTTGATATAATTGTGATACTAAAGTGTAGGCATGTAAATACATAAAGACTAAGTGGCATGTATGTAAATTTCCCCCAATGGATCACTTACATATGCAAGAAGATTGTAGGAAGAACCAAAGTCATGAAAACCAGCATTTCTCTTCCCACTCAAAATCTCAAGAAGGAGTACTCCAAAGCTAAATACATCCGACTTGACGGAGAAGAGACCCTTGAAAGCATATTCTGGAGACATGTAACCACTAAATGTGTAACAATTAGAACTAATTAGCATACACAAAGCTTTAATAATTGAATTTTATTTAAATAATAATAAAGTTGTGATTAATTTACTTACTAAGTGCCGACAATCCTTCGAGTATTTGCTTGAGTTTCATTAGCATCAAAAATCCTTGCCATGCCAAAATCTGAGATTTTAGGGTTCATATCAGCGTCCAATAGAATGTTGCTTGCCTTCAAGTCTCGATGAATGATTTTTAATCTGGAGTGTTTATGAAGATAAAGAAGCCCCTGAGTTATTCCTTCTATTATTTGAAAACGCCTTCTCCAATCTAATCTTGATCTTTGGCTAGCATCTGCAGATGTTCAAACATAATTAGCTCTTCAGGATTTACTATATATAAAAGGGGTATTTACATACCAACCACTCAATTCTTATGTATTTACATATCTAGCATCTAAACTTTAATATTTACATTTATAGCACTCAAAATTTAAACAACACATAAAAAAATACCAACATTATTTACTTTTTAAAAGCCAAATACTCCTTTCATGCATAAATTTAGAACATCAAAGTTTGTAAGTGTAAATATCAAACTTTAGATGTTAGATATGTAGATATATAAGAAGTGTGTGGTATGTATGTACAGTTCACTATATAAAATTAGGGACATTTACATACATTCCACCCAATTCATATTTATTTACATATCTAACACTTAAAATTTACTTTTTACATTTATGTCACCGAAATCTTTCATATCACATCGAAAATACCACTATTTTACCTTTTAAAATGTGAAACACACCTTTTTCATGCATAGGTAAGATGGCAAATATGTAAAAAACTGAAGTTTAGGAAATATATTTAAATACATAGGAATTGAGTGGCATGCATATGAATCTTCCAATAAATTATATACAGATAATTATTCGTTAAAAAAAAAAGAATAGAAAATTAGAAATTATTTTCATCACTAATGAAATTTCTTCTTCACTGTGTGAAAACTTACCAAAAAGAAAGAGATCCAAGCTTTTGTTAGGCATGAACTCATATATCAGCATCTTCTCTTCGCCATGAATACAACAACCTAATAATCTTACTAAATTCATATGTTGCAGTTTAGCAATTAACAAAATCTCATTTTTGAACTCCTCTAATCCTTGCCCTGATCTTGTAGATAGCCTTTTGACCGCTACATCTTGTCCCTCTGGTAATTTTCCCTGAAATTAAAACAATTATTTGCACGTTAAACACATATACCATAATTCATTGAAAAGTTTCACATAGGTGTATATATGTATATATGATACCTTATAAACAGGCCCAAAACCACCTTCTCCAAGCTTGTTAAAATTTGAAAAGTTGTCTGTAGCACTCACTATTTGAGTAAATTTAAACAATGATATTGTTGAATTCCCTTCTTTACCTTTATGTACAATTTCATCCTCCCAATTTAGAGAGGAAATCGATTGTTCCTCCAAAAGTTCTGATTCGAATAAATAGATGTTTAGTTCGCTTTATATGTAACATAATCATAGCAAAATAAAAAATATTTCATAAACATACTTCTGAGTTTCCGTCTCCTTATCATAAAGACGCAAATCAAAATTATCAGAAGGAACAAAGCAATAGCTACTGCTGTGATGGCATAAACCCACGCCTTGTTCTTGCTTCCTGTTATTCACAAATTTAGTACAAGTCAGCATTTATGAGTGAGAAAAAAAAAATTGGAAATAGATCTTTCAGTAAAAGAGCCTCTTTTTAACAGCTCTAGCAATCTCTTACAAATAACTTATAACTATCTTTGATTTCCAATAATGAAGCTAACTTAAAATTTGTACATATATTAAAAGAAGAATTGATGCAAATATATTTTTTTCTTCAGATAAAGTGAGGACTCAAATGCGGGCATTTGAGATTCATCATTTTCTTACTGACTAATGCTCCGCACATTCAAGCATAAATTGATGCAAATATGATAACTAAGGATGAAGAATATTAATAGCAAATTTTAGTAAATTAAAGCATTTACATTTTAAGCACCATCACATTTTCTCATATTAGTTGATCAAAGATAGTTGTAATCAGGAAAATGGTAATGCTGAAGATGACCGTTTATCATCTTCTCATTTAGCACTAATGAAGTTTAAAAGACACGCTAAAATCATACAATTTGAACTTGTATGCATACTTGAATTGAAGTTGTGAAAGAGATTTACAAAGAAAAAAAAATTACTTCATACAACATTCAACAAGAATAAAGATGTATATAAAGTTGATCCAAATAAGTGGAATAAGCTAAATGAAGATGGTGATGAGGACATTTATAATCTCTTCAAAATATTCTTTTATAATTCTTCTGGCAAATAAATATTAGATTTTTTGTTTGCAAAACTTTAATGCCTAAAAAGTAGTGTAAAAATACCAATTTGTTTATTTAATAACTATATGATCATTTTTTGAAATTTCAATCTCTTCTTCATTACTTACCATGTAAAGAAAGAAAAAAAATCAACAGCCTTATGTTACGAAAGGCAGAGGGAGGCCTAGAAAAACTTGGGCATATTGTATTAAAAATGATCTTAATTTATTAGAACTAAATGAAAATATGACATTCAAAAGGACAATAGAGAAAAAAGATTCATGCAGCCGACCTCACTTAGTGGGATAAAAGGCTTGTTGTTGATGTTGTGTGTGTATATATATGGCTCATTCCAGTTGAAATATTTTTTTTCAATTATAGATTTACTTCTTCCTCTACCTAATTTTCTCATATTGGTTCACAAATACTTTGTATGAGGAAAACATACATGCTTTTTCTTAATTTGAAAAATATATATATATGTGTATTTTCGTATGGCTCTCCTATCAATAATATATCCCTTTCACTTTACATACATACCACACAATTTTTATGTATTTACTATTATCAAACACCAATATTTTATCTTTACATTCATAATACTCAAATCTTTTAACATTACATCAAAACTATTACTATTACTAATTTTTTTTTAAAGTGAAATGCACCTTTTTATGTATTAGATATGACTCATATACCATAAAGGGACAGATTCTGGAGCGAAGCGGAGCAGAGCGAAAGATTCTGTCCAAATCAGGGGAGTTTTTTTATGTGGGCTGGGGAGAGGTACAAGGGTAATTTGATAATTACATATTGTACTCCAGAGTTTTCTAGGGTTATAAATAGGTTTGTTTGTAACCCTAGGTTTTGTCTCAAATTCTGTAATATATTTTCTGAAAATTGAAAGGAATTCACCGCTCTGCTCCCGAGGACATAGACATTTTTGCCGAACCTCGCTAAATCTCTTTAGTTCTTCTCGATTTGTGTCGTTCTTGTTTTTTTTCGCCATAATTTCTCAAAAAGTGGTATAAGAGACAGTTTCTAGGGCAGGGATGAAGAAAATTTCAGCGCAGGAAGGAGGAGACGATTTTTTATTTGCGGCAGTTTGTAGCGAACAAGCAAATCACAGCATTCTGCAAAGGAGTTGCGGGGTTCTCGGGGTGAGACCATCTGTTTCGGCGGTTAGGAGCGGAAGGCATGGGGACCGGACTGCTCTCGGAATTGTGACAGTCAGAGTGATAATTATCTGGCTAAGAACCAGGTGTACCATGAGAGAACTAAGCACATTGATATCAGGTATCACAAGTTCAGAGAATTGATTGCTTCTTGTGAGATACTGTTGCAGAAGGTTTATGCTGATGAAAATGCAGCTGATATGTTGACAAAGCCAGTTACTATCAACAAGTTCTTGCATTGCTTGGACTTGTTGAATGTTTGCAGTTGCTAGAGAAGCATGATGGCCCAACCTAATTCTGGTATGTAAGAAACTCAATGACGTATTTCTCCTAAAGAGTTGGATATTCGCCAACGTTGAGATTTATTAGATATGACTCATATACTATAAAGGGACAGATTCTGGAGCGGAGCAGAGCGGAAGATTCTGTCCAAATCATGGGAGTTTCCTTACGTGGGTTGGGGGCGAGGTACAAGGGTAATTTGGTAATTACATATTGTACTTCAGGGTTTTCTAGGGTTATAAATATGTCTGTTTGTAACTCTAGGTTTTATCTCAAATTTTATAATATCTTTTCTGAATATTGAAAGGAATTCGCCGCTCTGCTCCCGAGGACGTAGGCATCTTTGTCGAACCTCGTTAAATCTCTTTGTGATCTTCTCGATTTGCGTCATTCTTGTTTTTCTTCACCCTAATTTCTCAACATTATGCATGAATTTATGGCACTAAAGTTTTACAAATGTAAATATCAATTTTTAAATGTTAGAAATGTAAATCCATAAGAAATACGTGATATGTATGCAAATTTTCCAAAAACTTCAAACTAACCTTGCTCTTATGAGAGTAGACTCCAATCTAAAATAAAAGGAAGATAAAGAGGAAAATCAGTAAGTTTAACGTCGCTGGTCTCAGCCTGCACTATGACTCAACATATTAAGGGGGTGTTTAGTATCATAGTATTAATAAGATTTAAACATATATTTAAGGTAAATACAGCCAAACACAAAAAATAATAATAATAATTAAATACAACACTCCGTTAAATCAAAATTTCATGCATTTCGTTCCTGTTTCTCGCATCCTGTCTCTTTTCGATGTGAATCTAGATTTACTAAATCCCATTGCGGAGCAAATTTAAGGGATTTACTCTATCATTGCTAGCTAGCTCCATTTCCATCGCACGGGATTTGATAAACCTGGATTTACTAGACTTGATCAATCCTATTTAACCTACAACTAGGTTATAGCCAACACTGCCTGCTCAAACCCGGACCAAGTCAAGATGAATTATCAAATAGGTCAACACTGAGAAGTCTTTAACAAAGGAAAATTAACATAATAATTGTATGAACCTTAATGCAACAGTTATCTAATTTCATGCATGCACTTAAAGAGGCAAAATTCATGCTAAAATATGACCTATAGTCAAAGTTTATTATTATAAACTGCAAAATTATAAAGATATCGTAATTTAACGTAAAAAAAACTTGCAAAAGTAATATCAGGCTTATAATATTGACTTTGACTTTGACTTGGCTTCATATTAGCTAATTATCATGTTCCCATAATCTATTCGGCCTCCACTGATAAACTCCAAAGTACGAAATGAGAATTTTATTTTTTAACACGGAAAAAGGGAGCTCATTTGTAATTTTGCATTATCTTGTTTCATACATGGAAATATAATAATAATAATACTATTTAATTTAGGATTTGAATGCATAATACAGAATTATTTTATATTTTATATATTAAATTTTTAATTTTTAATTTTTATTTATTTAGCTTTTACTTTAATTTGTAAATGAACTTTAAAATAATATTATCATTAATTACACATGTTTAATATTGTTATATCAATAAATTTAAATTAACTCAAATATTAGTATGCAAATTCCACAACATGAGAGTTTACCTTCACCGCTAGGTGCAACACGGACGTAAAGATCCTGCCCGCCGTCTGCATAAACTTTGAGATCTTTAATCTCCGCCATCCAGATATAGCACCCATTTCCTCCTCTGCTAAGATCAGCGCTCGCATAAGCCTTACAGGAGCAATTCATCAAACACCTTGCCTTACACCCATCTATGTCCAAGCTCATATCCGCCACCGCGGCCTTCGTGTCCGGCAGCTTCGAACCGCGAACTACCATGAACTCATCGGTTCCATTCGCCTCGCAGCCAAGGTTCGCCGTTCTCACACACCCATCTGACCAATCTCCCCGGCGCCAACTCGCCGTATTCGCCGGATTAAACCCATCAATACACCGGCAGATCGGCGAGCTGCTCGTATCACAGATGGCGTTGATTCCGCATGTTGAAAAGAAGTCGCAAGTGTCGTTTGGTGCGAACCAGTAGAGACTCCAATTCTGTGACGACGCTTCCCATCCGTAACGGCTGGTTGATCCGTTTTGATCCATTGTCAAAATAGAAATGGCGTCTCCTACCATGTTGAACTGGTAGTAGATCTCATCCGAACTGGTATTAAAGCTGGAGATGAACTCTCTGTATAAACCGATGTCAAAGAATTGATTAGATCCGGCGCCGGAAAAACCGAAGCCGTTCCATGGTCCGCCACGCCAGATCCAATTCCCCGAGACGTCGCGGATGACGAACTGGGGAACGCCGACTGGATCGATCGCAAGGGTATAAGTCCCCGGCGATGGATCGGAGAGGCTCCGCCATGCCACGAGATTGCGGTCGACACCGGTTTTCAGGTTAGGACCAATCTTCATGCCTGGGAGCATGATATCTGTTGGGTGATCGAAGCTCTGCCATAAGATGGAGCTGGAATTGGGCGATTTCACGACAAAATTGCCGTTATCGAGAAGTTGGGCGATGGGATCAGGGATGGAATTGTTGATTGAAGGGGAAGACCAGAGGGGGGTGGAGTCATCAGAGGCTACGAGATGGAGAGACGCATCGCCGGCTCTTATTGAGAGTGTTGCGTTGGAATTGGAAATGGGATTCCGGCGATTGGCGACCCAGACGACGGTGGGTGATGCGAGTTTGTGGTACCAAATCCCGAGATAGCGGTTGGTGGTTTTTGGAGGGGTGAAGAAGCCGAGGGCGAAGGTTCCGTTTGAGGAGATGAGGGTTTCGCCATCGGAGAGGAAACGAGATGGAGTAATGGTGTCTGTGGAGAAGGAGATTGACGGGAAGAAGGTGAGGAAGAAGAGGAGAGTCGGGAGGAATTGCTGTGTCATAGTTTCCCACCTGCTTAGAGCCATCGACTGCCATTAAAGTCCGAATTCGGCTGTTAGCGGGTTTATAATTACTTCTGCAGCGGCCCGTTGAGAATGCCGACATTGACCGGGAAGCCAGTAGAATTTTCTAAGACAAAACTGCCGCGAAATTTACAAATCAAACACCCTTTTTCAACCATTTCTGAGAGATGATCATAAAATCCCAACTTATATCTTTCATTTTTGTCAAATTCATTAAGATTTGATGGTCGCGTGCGCTAAATGCATGTTCAAAAAATCTCCCTTGATTTGTAAATAGCCATATTTTAGGTGCTCCGCTTGCAATTATCCCTAAAATTTTATGGGTCATATGTACTTTGTGGCATAGAATGGCATAGAAATGAAAAAACCCAAAGAATACAAGCAAACACAGATTTTTTATGTGGTTCGATCTAACTAGATCTACGTCCACTGGAGGGAATCAATCAAATAGTTCACTAAGGCAAAAGAAATGAAGAATACATAGCTTATACATAGAGATGAGCCATTATCTTCCTTCTATAGCCTCCCTCTCAAGCGACACCTTGATACAAGGCCTCAAGATGCTCTCCTCCTCTCTAGCTCTCTAGCTATTCTCTCCTCCTTTGTGGTAGCTTAAGTTCTCTTCCCTTGCTCTCCTAAGCCTCACACCCTCTCTATTTATAGAAGTAAGAGAGTGGTAGGTGGGAGGTAGGTGATCGCTAGGATCGGTGAGCGGTAGGTGAGCTGTGGTAGGTGAGCAGTATCACATTACAAAAATGCCCTTTTGCCTTAGTTCAATAATTGGGGGTCAAAAATAATAATTCTCCACCTTGACCCTCAATTGAGAAGCCTCGAAGTAAAGATTCTCTCCACCTGGCCCCTGAGGGGCCCTCAGCCCTTGGTGAAGTTTACTAAGTCCAGACAGTGTCTGCACTTAGCTGTCGGTAGCACTTTAGTGAGCATATCAGCAGGATTTCTTTCAGTAGGTATCTTCTCCACTATTATTGAACAATTGGCAACGACATCCCTCATAAAATGAAGTTTTATATTTATATACTTCGATCTTTCATGAAATACCCGATTTCTGGTTAGGTGAATGGTACTTTGGTTATCGCAAAACACAATTATCACCTTCTGATGTATCCCAAGCTCCTCAGTCATGCCCTTTAGCCACATAGCTTCCTTGATTGCTTCAGCCACAACGATGTATTCGACCTCTGTTGTTGAGAGAGCCACAACAGATTGGAGGTTAGACTTCCAACTGACTGCGGTGCCGAAGACAATGAAAATGAATCTGGTCAGGATTTCCTGGTGTCAATGCTTCTTGCATAATCGGAGTCTACGTAACCAACTACATTTTCTTCTAATAAGAGATTGAACCTCCTCCAGAGTAATAGTCTGCACCCTTCCATAGAGCATCGCATCCTTGAAATACTCATAACTCTTGGGAATAGAGTTTAGCAACAGTAGTGCCTTGTCCTCATCGTCCACCTTGACGTCGATGTTCTCGAGATCGTCGATGATCTTGTTGAACTTGTCAATCTGCTCTAAAATGGATTTGTCTTCATGCATTTTGAAGGAGTATAGGCGCTGCTTCAGAAAAAGTCTATTAGCCAAAGACTTTGTCAGGTAGAGTACCTCGAGTTTGGCCCAAAGTGCTTGAGCCGTTGTCTCCCTCGACACCTCCCTCAAAACTTTGTCGCCCAGGCTCAGGAATATCAAACTGTGGGCTTTGTCCAGTATGCTGATCTTCTCCTTCCCGGTCATGTCGGCCGGCAATGTCGCCGACCTTGCAAGGCTTCTGCAACATCCTGCATAGAGCTCCATCTTTACTCTCCATAGACCGAAATCATTACTCCCGTTGAATTTCTCGATGTCGAATTTGGCGGAACCCATTATTATGGCTTGATCCCCACTAACGTCTGAAATCTGCTCCGCTGAGCACCTACTGAATTCCGAGGCTATCGCGGCGTGCTTCTGTCGCGGCATGTGCTACTATCGCGGAAAACCTCCTCCTTCGCGAGATCTGCCCCTTCGCGGAGCAAACTACCCGTCTTCCTCTGCTTCTTCGCGGACAATTCCTCCTCCGTCTCGCCGAACTGAACAACCTGTGGTGCTAATCCAGTTGATCAAAGCTTCCACTACTCACCAAATCTATCGCGATTCGGCTGCCTGCGACGCGGCCTGCTCGCTCCTTTGCTCGAGTGAATGTCGAACTCCTCTTCTTCGTCGCTGGCCGCGAACACCTTTACGCGGACACGTCTAGCCAAGAAGTATTGATCTTCCCACAGACGATGTCAATTGTTGTGTGATATGTACTTCCTGGCATAGAGATGAGTCAAGTATTGATCTTCCCACAGACGATGTCAATTGTTGTGTGATACGTACTTCCTGGCATAGAAATGAAAAAAACGTAAAGAACACAAGCAAACACAGATCGTTTACGTGGTTCGATCCAACTGGATCTACGTCCACGGGAGGGAATCAATCAAATAGTTCACTAAGGCAAAAGAAATGAAGAATACATAGCTTATGCATAGAGATGAGCCCTCATCTTCCTTCTATAGCCTCCCTCTCAAGCGACACCTTGATACAAGGCCTCAAGATGCTCTCCTCCTCTCTAGCTCTCTAGTTATTCTCTCTTCCTTTGTGGTAGCTTAAGATCTATTCTCTTGCTCCCCTAAGCCTCACACCCTCTCTATTTATAGAAGAAAGAGAGTGGTAGGTGAGGGGTAGGTGAGATGTGGTAGGTGAGCGGTACCACATTACAAAAATACCCTTATGCCTTAGTTTAATAATTGGGGGTAAAAAATAACAGCATAGAAGTTAAAATCTCCTTTTTGTTGCATACGATCTCAAGAATGTTTGAGGCGCGGCATGAAACAAAAAATAATTTCATAAAATAATGTTTAAATAAAGAAAATTTAAATTTTGAGTAAAAATGAATGTGAAGAACTTTAAGATAAAGAAAAATTAGAATTGGCATAAGAAAACATAGAGATTTAACGAGGTTCGATAAAGAAGCCTACATCTTCGAGAGCAGAGCAGTGGTTTTTCTTCAATTTAGAAAAAAAGAATACAGGACACCCTCAGGGTTACAATACGCATATATATATAGCCTTGAAGTACAATATGTAATTAACAATTTATTCATGTACCGTACCGTGGGGGTATTGCCCCTGCACCCCCAACCCGCATAACGTAACTCCCCCGATTGGACAGATGGTTCCACTCCACTCCGCTTACTCGCTCCTCTACACTCGCTCACTCTGTTCCGCTCTAGCATCTGTCCCTTATTTGGTATATGAGTCATACCTAACAATAAAGAACTATGACTTCAGCAAATTTACTGTCAAACTAACTGGCTCAACGAGATGAGACCATTGATATTAAAGTTAAATCACTTTTTTGAAGCTTTTGGTGCATAATTGATGTCAAATGAATTCCAAATCTGACATAATTATAATCAAATTGAGTGTGTTGACAATACAAATCTAATGGGCTTAAGATCGCTCAATTCTGACATCATTAAGGCATTCAAAGATCCACTAAACATCATATGATCGAGAAAACTCTCATGGTTCTCTGATGGTGTGGTCTAGATTCCTTCCTTATTTACAGAGAGATCTCTTTCTAATCTCCTCTTGAGAGAGGATCGAGAGTTGAGTTTAAAGAAGATGATGAAGCATTATGTCATTTCTGCACCAAGGATCGGGTGAACACTTCCCGCTTCAGCAGCTAAAGACCGTCGCCGACTACTTCTCACTAGCCTCCATCGATCACTTCTCACTAACCTCTGTCGACCACCATGGGGCATCACTTGCTCCTTTCAATGGAGCTTCATGCAGAATCACTGCATGCGCTGTAGCATTCCAACATACATTGTGAACATCAACACACTCATAAGACGGTGTATGAATGCACTCAGAAGATGGAGTAACAACGCACTCTAAAGATTGTGTAGGAATGTATCTCAAATATTGTGCAACATCATACCCAACATATGATGACCCTTTATTGATGATGTCCCAGCTTATGAAACTCTCGACTTTGACCTCTGTGGCATACTGATGTCATCATAGCTCACAATTATAGTTTATATAACTTACAACTACTGTAGCTTCCGACTTCGGGCCCTAGGGCCTATGGACGTCATTGCAGCCCACCAGTACAACATACGTGATCCTCAGCTCTTACAACTTCCAACTCCGATCCCTTCAGCTTGTGGATGTCATCACAAATTACCACTACACTTTATGTGACTCACTGCTCGTGCAACTCTTGATTCTCGCCTCTATGATAAACAAATGGCATCATAGCTTATCACTACGCCCTATGTAGCCAACTACGGCTTACGTTGTTCATAGCTCATGCATATTTCTACTACGACCTCTGTGTCCAACTGATACCCCTGAAACAATCATCTATGACCCACAAGATCAACTACCACCATGAATTTCAACTACAACATATATGACAAGTTGTGCAACAACACCGTCTACAAGATTCACGATAGATTACTACCTCCGCATCAATCAACTGTGACCATTACAATCTGCTATCACTGAGAACTACATTCATTCATATAGACTAGGACTAGTATCGATGCACTACTGTTGTACATTTACAATGATCATATTTGTAACTCCATCTTCCATAATTCATAATATTAGTGAACATGTGTATCCACCATTCATAGTTGATTAATTCAATTATGGTTAGGTCCCATAGTTTTTACCCTTTTTAGGATTTCCTGCATAAAAATCGAGGTCTTGTATTGCTTACTTCTCTTCAATTAATTGAGTGTGTTAGGTTTTTGTGTAACGCTAAAATGATAATTCAACACTCTACCACCGCAGACCTTTTGGAACGTAACAATATATTCATGCATAGTATTCAAAATTCTATAAATAAAAAAGAGCTTTTATCACTTTGGATTTTTTTAATAGGGGAATTTGCATGCATAGTACTCATAATTCAATAATTTTCATATTTAACACTTAAATATAACTATTTCTTCATAAAATACTCTAAAACATAAAAAAAAATTTACATACATATCGCCTCATTATCATGTATTTACATATCTAACAACCAAATTTTGATATTGACACTTAAAATATATTGACAAGGGGTGTGAATATGTCGAGCCGGCTCCTTAACGAGCTCACGAGTATAGCTTACTGAGCCACGAGCTCGAGCTCGCGCTCAAATATGA